GGAAGGTGCTGGAAATTCCGGATCCATCCGCGGCATTCGAGATTCCCCTGCGACTTGCAGACCAGAACAGCAGCAGCAAAGCGTAGGTAGCACCGCCAAGCAGCAGGTATTTCAGGAGTCGTCGCCTTGGTGTCGGTGTCGCGGGGGCAGCAGCAGTGGAGGTACTAGGTACCAGTGTAATAGCTGGATTACTCGCTGCTACAGGAATCGAAGCAGTCTGACATGCTACCCGTGGTCTCAGCAAGCGATCTGACTCGTCCTGCATCATGTCTAACAAGTTCAACTCTGAGCTCACAAATGCTGAGGTGGCACCTTCATGACTCAAGTGAACAAGTGAACCTGAGGTTCGCATGAGTCATACCCAGACTTGAGTCCGTGTCCACTATCATTTTGATCGGGAATCCCGATTCGGGATACTTTGGGCACCCGGGTGAAACTGAAAATTTGGCTTGTCGACTCGATCGTCGTCATCTCAATGGGATTCTATTGCCGCTGTTGCTAATAGCAACTTGCTTTGCAAGATTACCATCTGTAGTGCTACATGTATTCGATAAGTTATGTGTTCCCACGCCACAGCATGCGGTGATCGGGTACCGTGCATTTAGGCAGCTTGATCCGCTGCCTCCATGGCAAAGAGCCGCAAGTCCGTCTCCAGCCCTGCAAAACTGAGGGTGGCGATCTCCTGGACATAGAAACTTGGGTTGGATCCGATGTGTCTCTGCCCGTAGCAGTGTTGGTCTTGGAACTGCGGCTCTACACTGTATGCATCGATCACGTAGTCTGTGCGTGGCGCACTGCGGTTAAATGACAGCAAGTGGGTCCAGATAATCTCGTCAGGGTATCCATCAGATTCGGGCTTCTTCAATACTGGCGCCGGTGTTATTGCTGCCATCTCCGCCTCCACCTCGCTCCACTTCGGGGTCAACCGACCGTGACCATTCTTAGCCATCTCAACAACCAGTTTCTTCCTGGCTCGAGCCACTGCTTCGCTTCTTAGAACCGTCTTTTCTTGTTTCGGCATACCCGTGAGTTTACGTGAGTTCCGATGCATGAAGAGCACTTCTCCCTGAGCATCGTGCTGCACCATCGTCATGCCACAGAAGTTGCCGTCGATCACCTTGCCGGCTACTGCGGGCGGCGACTGGATCATGTGGAACGTGGCGTTTTGATGCATCCACGCGAATCGAAAGAGATCTTTGTCACCGTGCGCTAGTTTGAAGTTGTCGAAGAGATTCGGACGATGGAAGGCATAGAAAGAGAGAACTTCCACGGGTATTGTGTGACGCCGTCGGTCGATAAGAAGTTGGCCGCTCTCCTGTTCGAACATGTCGGCAAACGGGAAGCCGAGGAACTGCCAAACAAGCGATTGGCGGTGGATATTGAAAATGGTATTGTCAGGATGCCAAAAGTCCGGCCAGAAAACAGCGCCCGTATCGATGAATTCGGGAGATTCGAAAAGGAAGCTTGGGTCTCGCACAGGCACGTTGTCAGCATCCAGGAACAGGATTCTCTCCAAGTAACTGTGGTAGATGGCGAAGACTTTCGTTCCGTAGCCGAATGCACGCGCATCATTGATCTCGTGGAAAGAGATCCCTCCAGCATGCTCTGCCAGCTTTTTCAATGGGGCCAAACCTTTCCGCGCCGTTCTCATCTCGTCAGGCCGGTACCATAGTTCGATGGGGAGTCGACAACCAAGTATTTCTCGTAGAACACGGACGGTGGCGTATGCACTCGCCAGCAATCTAGGATACACGACCATGATAATGCCATCTTTTCCACCAGACAGGTTGGTATTCACACCTTCCACGAGAGGGACAACATGGGGGAGGGAGAACCCTGGCATCGATGCTGTTTTGGCCACCTCGTTCGCTCTAATCGGGAATTTGACGAATTCGGCAGCATCAAGGCAGCGGAATTTTGCGTCCTCTCTGACGCTGTTGCAGCCACGCTTCACCACGTGAAAAACTTCACCCGTGTCTTTGTCCTCAAGCTCGCAATATCCGGACTGGTCGACAGGCACCGGTTTGCCACAGGGTAGATCAAGATTCCGCAATCGCGTGCCGTCGGGATCGCAGTCGCTCGTTGCTTTCCACCCACGACATCGCAAACGAGCGTCAACCTTCTTCTTCTCCTTCTTGTCTGCCAGCGATATTTTAGTCTTCATTTCGGCCTCCTGAGCACGAGCAACCGCCAGAGCTGCTTGTATTGATACTTCTCGAGCGGATAGCTGCTCCACCGGTGGAAACGTTGGTGCGTCTGTTATCTGCGCTTCAAACGCGACCACCCGGTGTGCAGGAGTGGAAGTTTTGGGCTCGCTGGCATTCTCCTGAGACGCGGTCAATCGTCCCAGTCGGCTAGCGTTCCAGCAGACGAGCAACGCGACGTAAAGCGCTCCAGCCAACAGCGATATCCTCAGCGGCCATAGATGCCAGCAACGACGACTACTAGTTGCGTTGGTCGGGGCTTGGAACGCGTGGTGCGGTAGCAGTGGTGACTTGCTTGCTGTCCTCGGTCGAAACACATTCTGCTCCATCTCGAGTGGAAAGAAGAAGTGGCGGGCTCCTCACTACGGCACAGGCAAATACATGTACAGACCGGGTCTCAGAGTCTGAGTCAGACCCGCCCGCCTTTCAATAGTCTGATCGGATGATAGGCAGGCATCACCGCGCAGAGACGGCGTCGCATAGCAGACTGCCGCAGTCACTGCGACAGTAAAGATGTTCATAGCTTCAAGGTCATTTTATAAATGGTATGGATATTGCATTGTATTCCGATAAGTTACACAACCTACGCCTTCTTGATCTCTACAGTCTCAGCGGCAAAACGGCGCAGGTCCGTTTCCAGCCCGGCGAAAGGCAAATCAGCCACCTCCTGCGCGTAAAAGTGTTTGCTTTTACTCACGTTGCGCTCGCCGTAGCAATTCTGAGACTTGGGGAACTCTGGGTCCGCGTTATAAGTCTTCACATAATAGTTCTCCTGCTTGGAAGTGGAGTTGAACGACAGCAGGTGCGTCCACACGATTGAATCCGGGTATCCGTCTGGCTCAGGCGGTTCAATGGTCGGGGCTGGAGTCTCCTCTGCCTGGACGAGCGCGTCCAGCTCGGACCAGGGCGGGATCTCCTTGCCCTCATTTCGATACCTCGTTCGAATCTCTGCTTTCTTTCTAGAGCGTGCAATAGCTCGAGATCTGTAGTCAACTTCTTCTCGAAGAGGTTCACCCAAGAGTTTGTGCGAGTTTCGATGGAGGAACAGCACTTCGCCCTGAGCGTCGTGTTGAACCATGGTCAGGCCGCAGAAGCTCTCGTTGATGGTTTTGCCAGCTAAAGCAGGAGGTGCTTTAATCATGTGGAAAGGAGCACCAAGTTTGAGCCACGCGAGACGGAAGAGGTCCTTGTCGCCGTGGACGAGTTTCATGTAGTCGAAGTGGCTTGGTCGATGAAACGTGTAAAATTTGACGAGCTCAAGCGCTTCTGCGTGACGACGACGGTCAATGAGAAGCTGACCGCTCTCCTGTTCAAACATGTTGATGAACGGCATGTCGATTAACTCCCATAGGAGCGACTGGCTGTGGATATTGAAGATGGTACGTCCAGGATGCCAGAAGTCTGGCCAGAAGACAGCTCCGTTCTCCACAAACTCCGGTGAGCTAAACAGGAACGTCGGGTCCCTTGAAGGCACGTTGTCGGCGTCGAGGAACAAAATGCGTTCGAAGTAGCTATTGTAAATTGCAAACACTTTTGCACCATATCCAGACGCATGCCAGTCCGTGATCTCGTGGAAGCTCATCGTCGACGTTTCGTTATCCGCTGCTAGAGCTGACAGAGGCTTCATCGCGTTGGGGTCTGCATTCATCTCAGCTTTGCGATACCAGATTTCGATGGGTAAGCGGCATCCCAGTACTTCGCGCAGTGTTTTGATCGTCGCGTAGGCGCTTGGGATCAACTTCGGATACACAACCATAACGATGCCATCACGCTGCTGCTCGTTAGTTGCGTTCTGTATGTTCGGCAGCGCAAAACCCGGTGTAAGCGCGTTATCTGCCGCCTCGCGGGCCTTGAAGTGGAAGTTGACAAAGTTGGAGGCATCAGAGCAGCGAAAGCTCATCTCCCACCTGGAGCTGCTGCAATAACGTCGCATGACTCGGAATCGCTCGCCAGTGTCAGTGTCTTCCACCTCGCAGTAGCCCGAGTGACCGTGCGGCACCATCTTAGTGCAGGAGAAGTCGTTCACGGGCTTGCGCGGTCCAAATGGACTGCATCCACCCGTCGATTTCCAGCCCAAGCATTTGAAATTTCGCGGTTTCATCTCACCCTTCGGCAGTAATAGTGTATCACGAGCTAGTTCCTCGGCTTCCTGCTGTCTTCTCACTTCATCGGACATCTGAGACCCTGACGCTGAAAGTAGTAAGCTCATTGAGCCGTCCGCATCCATCTTAGCTACGACAGCTTCTCGCGCCAGATGCAGTGCCTCTCGCACCTGAGATGCCTCCATGGGGGTATCAATTGCTGCCTGGGTTGGGATCGGAGTGACTTCAAACGTGGCCGTGTCTTCCTCCGTTTCTTTGGTATTCTGCTGCCTCTCCTGCTCCTGCTGTGTGTCTGCCTCCTGGTCGTTGGCCGCCTTCAACATCGCTGCCAAGTCCATCGAGCTGCCGCCTTGCTGCTCCTCAACCTGCTGTTCGAACGCCACGCTTGACTCGGACGCTGCAGTATCTGAACCCATGCGCACCACATTAAGATTCTGAGAGGACCAGGCTAACATCGCCACTGCGTACACTGCGCCTCCCACCAGCAGCAGGCGAGGCAGCCAGCGGCCACCGTTAGACGGCGGCAAAGCATGGTTGGACGACGTCGCTCCTCCGCGATGAGGCAGCAACACAGCTCCAGGCTCCTTCGCCGTCTCTGGTTCGCTCGACGTATTGGAGCGGGGACGCAGTAGCGAGTCCACCTCCATGCTTACTGCCCGAGTCGACGATTGTCGTGTGAGGAGTCAATCTCGTACCGTTGTGGCATGGGCGGCTCACACATTTGTGACGCACGTCGAGGAATGAGGGATTTTTTGGTAGAGATTTGTCGGGCATCTGACAGGTGGCTCGCTCCTTCAAGCGCGAAAGACCTGAGTTTCTTATGCCAGACGCATCGCACCAATCTTCCTGCTTACACTCTCTTCTTGATAGTGTACACATAGCTCGCCATTATACACTAAAAACCGGAATCTATCCAAATGGTCTCTATTTTCTATCAGCTCGATTGAGCCGGGCGTTGCTCTTGGTAGACTGCAGCACTGACCTCTTCACCAACAACAACTCCCTGTAATCTAAGATCCTATATAAGAAGGGCATGCATATTTGTGATGTTTTTATTGCAAAGATCCAGCAGCTTGATGACACTGACCGTGACGTGAGCGGTTTGGACACGATACTAGACGCTGCTTATTCAATAGCTATCGTATCGTAATTCCAGCCTGCTCGTAAAAGCGAGCACCTTCCTGTGCGAACCGCCGCAGCTCCGTCTCCAGTCCAGCGTAACTGAGGTTGGCAAACTCTTGTGTGACGAAGTGAATGCTCTGAGTCAGATAGCGCTGGCCGTAGCAATTCTGGCCGTTCTCGAAGTCTGGAAATGCCTCATACGTCCGGATTCGGTAGTCTGATCGACGTGAGGTGTTTTTAAGAGAAACTAAGTGCGTCCAGATCACCATGTCAGGATAACCATCAGGCTCGGGCGCTTCCAAGGTCGGTGATGGAGTATCCTCAAGTTCAGCCTCTGTATCACCGCGCGTGATACGATCTGCTTCAGCCATCTTCATGCGCAGCCGCTTGTTGCGTGCCCTGCGAATGGCTGCGGCTTTCATGTTGACCGCCTTCCGTCGTGGAGTGCCCATGAGTTTATGCGAATTGCGATGGAGAAAGAGAACGTCGCCCTGTGCATCGTGTTGCACCATTGTCATGCCACAGAAACTCCGATTCACAACTTTACCAGCGACGGCAGGCGGCGACTCAATCATGTGGAAAGAAGCACCGAGTTTAAGCCACGCGAACCGAAAAAGGTCCTTGTCTCCATGCGCCAACTTCATTTTGTCGAAGTGATTCGGTCGATGAAAAGTGTAGAACTTCACAAGTTCCAGTGGTGCTGAGTGTCTCCGTCGGTCGACCAGTAGCTGACCACTCTCCTGCTCAAACATGCTGATGAACGGCAAGTCCAGTAGCTCCCATATGAGCGAGTGCGGCTGAATATTGAAGATGGTCTTGCCTGGATGCCAGAAGTCCGGCCAAAACACTGCACCACTTTCTTTAAACTCAGGCGATTCAAACAGGAAACTCGGATCCCGCACCGGTACATTATCAGCGTCAAGAAACAACAAGCGCTCGAAGAAGCTGTGGTAAATGGCGAATACTTTGGTAGCAAAGCCCACCACTCCTGGCTCGCCGATCTCTCGAAATGTGATGCTACCATTGTTTTGACTTGACCATTCTTGGAGTTGTGTAAACGCCTCTGGAAATAATTTCATTTCTTGCGGTCGAAACCACAACTCGATAGGCAAGCAGCAGCCGAGCAGCTCCCGCAACGCTCGTATTGTTGCGTAGGCACTAGCGAGCAACTTCGGATACACCACCATAACGATACCGTCTCGTGGTTCCTGTTGATGACTGGGTTTTGGTGCAATATTTGGCAGCTTGAAATTGCGATTCTGCGCCTTCCTCGCTGCCTCGCGAGCTTTCTGCGGGAAAAGAGCAAAATCCCACGCCTCGGAGCAGCGAAACTTCCCCACATCCCGCACACTGGAGCAGTATCGCTGCATCACACGGAATCTCTCCCGTGTATCCTTGTCTTGCACCTCGCAGTAGCCCGACGCACCAAAAGGGATTACCTTATTGCAGGGTTCATCGAGACTGGGTATTCTCGATCCATCAGGGCTGCAGTTGTCCGTCGCACTCCAGCCAATACATCGCAATCTCCTGAGCTTCGTCTCCCATACCGGGAACGGCTTTAGGGTCTTTGCATGAGCTTCAGCCTCTAAAATTGCTGCTTCGTCCCTTTCAACTGACGCGTTAATCTTGTGCAAAAATTCCATCTCCAGCTCTGCAAATACGAAATCCGTCCGGAGTTCACGGTCCTCGTGTGCGTGTAAATAATTTATCTTGTTCTCATCCAGATTGGCGATCGATATGAAATTGTCTAGTGGTCCTCCGAAAATTTCGCCGCCTTTCCTTGCTTTCATGAAGCCAAACCAGACAAACAAGAGCGACACGTACAGAATACAGCCCAGCAACAGCAGACGCTTCCAGCGACGGATACGCGAAGATGACGACGACTTAGGCGACGCTGCACCTGCATAATACGGTAGCAGTGGGGCTTCAACATACAGCGGGTCTCTGTGGTGGTT